GAGGTAATTTGTGAATTAGGCTACCATAGACTTATAGTCTAAATAAAATTCGTATTATGCTTGTTATAGAGTGCGTGACTTCACGTGCGCTATTGCCGGTGGCAGTAGAGGTTGTCATGGCGACCGTCACAGCCCTAAAAGTAAAAAACATTTCTGTGAATCAGTTCAGACTGTTCCAGGGAACTGATTTAAAACATTTTCAGAGATTCATGTATTGAATAACACCAGATAACTAGTGCAAAGAGCAAAAGAAATATTCTCAGAGGGAATCGGCTGACATCAGGGAAACGGCTTGAACTTGGACTGGGTTTGGGAACGGGTCAGTAGTCGGACCGGCCGCTCTGTCCCAATGTGCTGCCGCAGCAGTTCAAACTCCACTCTTAATGGCTCAAGCACCTCCCTTTCCTCTGCATTACTCTCAGCACTGGCTCCCTTCCACCCGCTGCTCCAAGAGCTTTCCATCTCCAGCCATCTCTGCGCCTCTTGCATGATATCTCTCACATGCACACACACGCTCCATGCCTAAGGCCTTCTGCAACGGTTGAAGGGATAGTTTACATTTCTGTCATGATTTACTCACCCTCATGCCATTTTGAAAAATATCCTTTTTCTACCACAGAGTAAAAACTGGCTTTTTAACTCAAAATTCTGCATGATCTCTCGCATTTCAGTTTTTTTGTTTTCCGCCACACAATGAAAAATATGATAAGTAATTTAGTTCATATCTCACAATTCTGACTTTTCGTCTCAGTATTGCAAGTCTGTATCTTGCAATTGAGTTAACATTTCGCATTTCTGACTTTTTTTCTCAGAATTACAAGTTTATATCTCGCAATTCTGATTTTCGCAATTCTTCTTTCTCAGAATTGAGAAAAAAGTTGCAATGATGTTATTTATTTAAATGTATTTTTTATTTTTTTTTATCCCGTAGCAAAAGCATACTTCCATAAAAGTCAGTGGGGTCTAATGTTGCTTGGACCCCAACATTTTTCAGAAAATTACAGAAAAAAAGAAAGTTGTAAGTGTTTGTAAGAAAGTAGAAGATAAAGAAAGTTGTATGGATTTGGAGCGACATGAGGGTGAATTAATTATGACAGAATTTATATTTTTGGGTATACTATCACTTTTTATCTTGCAATTCAGACTTTTTTTTTTCTAGCAATTATGAGAAAAAAAGTCTGAATTGTGAGAAAAAAACTCAGAATTGCAAGATATTCAGAATTCTGAAATTACAAGTTTATATCTCACAATTTATTTTTTCGTTTCCACCACAGAATAAAAAACAAAGAAAATATTGCAAGTTCATATTCACAATTCTGACTTTTCTTCAATATCTTGCATTTCTGATTTTTGCAATTCTTTCTCAGACAAAAACATCTGGATTGTCTGAAAAAGTTGGTTACATTATTTATTTATTTATGTATTTGTTATTTATCCTTTGGTAGAAACAAGCTTCCATAAAAGTGAATGGGTTTCAGTGTGGTTGGATCCCAAAATTTTTCAAAATATCATAGAAAGAAAGTCATACCAGTTTGGAAGAAAACATAGTAGAAGAAAAAGAAAGTGATACGAGTTTATGACACGAGAGTGAGTTAATTATGACAGAATTGAATTTTTTTGGGTGCACTGTCACTTTAACACATTGATTTTAACATCTATGTTAAGCAGCACTGCGAATAGATTTTCAACCTATTTTTCTGCATGCTAAATATGCAAAATGCCTAATGTGTAAAATGTATCTAATGCTGTATAAGCAGTGTAGCACAATCTCCGTTTAACTCATTTCTACCGTCACACTTTGTAAACCATTATCCTAACCCGTCCTTCTCAGCAGCCAGTGATGTTTCTGAGTCAGCAGGTCATGGTTAATTTCTCACGCTGTAGATTCGGTTTGACCAGGTCGTGGGGAAGATCTCACATGGATGAGATGTTTTATGAAGTCCACGTGCATGCGCAGACACCGCTGGTCGATCCTGAATCGATAGTCAATGTTCCACCGTGCTGCTGTGTCCTGAGCGTTTGACATGGACATCAATCCTGTCAGACTTTTTTCACTGCGTCTCTAACAGTCCGCCTTAAATCAGACAGACAGGGGTATATATTGTTATCCAAATGTATTTGCAAAGAGATGCAGTATATGCTATATAGCCAATCTCAACCTGATTTCATTTTCATTGCAAAATGTAAACCATATTATTATTACCTGGCTCTTTATATCAAGTTGGTTTTCCCATCTTTATTTGCCTACTTCTGCAACTTTTATTTCCAGTACACTCATGTAAAGTGATATATACTATAATCGCATCCAGCTGTAATCTGATAAATGCGACTGACTGTAAGGCATGAAGATATTAAGATATTGTATTGAAAAAAATTATATCGCGATACATATTGATATTGAATTATTGTCCAGCCCTATGTAAACATTAACATTGTAACATGATTTTCTGTAAAGCTGCTGTGAAAACTGCTCTGTAAATAAATTTGACTTGACTTGATTACTGTAATGTATCTGGATGTTTTACTCTTGACAGTGCATTTTGGGAATTTTTGTTTTTCTCATTTTTTTATTTTAATTTTTTTTATTATTCTCAGTATTGATACAGAACAGATTTTAATTGCATTCATGCAGTCAGTTACGATGTTAGTCCAGTTTTTAAAAAAATAAATTAAAGGCAGTAGAACAATACTCTACCATGCTGTACAAATATTTTGCAAATGCGAATCAATTTTTGTTTATAAAATGTACCCTATACCTTTTAATGCTATGCATCTGCCGAGCACATAAAGGCAAATGCAACTGATAAATTGAGGAAATGTTTTTTAATTCTTTGTTTTATTATAATTTATATTTTTGTGTGTGTGTGTAAAATATAATTTCTTATTATTTTCTTTTGATTTTGTGGTGAAATATGACCTAAACATGTTATTGACAGTTTTTGAAGTTTAACCAACAGACCAGCTCTACTGTATTACAACAGTACAACATTTTAATCATGTGTGTATTTGACACGTCTTTGGATTTTTTTTCTTTAAATAAACATTAGTTTATATGAATGCCATTTTGAATTTGAGCAAATATATAAATGTTGGGATGCAAATCTAATTTAGTCACAAGGTTTATCACGCAGCTCTACCACTGCTTCATATTTGTGCTGTACTTTGGGTCTCGTCGCAGGCTTGTTTTAACCTGTGCTAATCGCTTTGCATCTCTTGCGGAGGCTTGATTGAGTCCACGCTCTCCTGAAGGCATTTGCAGAGTTGAAAGTTTTGAAGGAACTGCTCACAGATAAAGTTCTTTTGAGACTCTTGTACATATGGAGTCATATATTAGATGCTTTATACAGGGCAGGCAGGCTGAAAATGTGAAGCATCACGACTCGGATATGCTCGAGGAAAAGTCAATGAGCCATGCTTTCTCTAGCCTAATATTCAGTGTTGGGAAGGTTACTTTGGAAATGTAATAGGTTACAGATTACAAGTTACCCTACTTAAAATGTAATAAGTAGTGTACTTTTTCAATTACTTTATTAAAGTAATGTAACTGATTACATTTGATTACATTTTGATTACTTTTCTAAATTTCTAATGTTTTCAACTGTTTATCATTTTCAACCATGTAAACCAGGCAGGGTAACTCTTACAGTAGTACTTAACACTGATTACTGTCACACTTTCGAAATCCTTCATCACTTGAATTAAGATTATATTTCAATTTTAAAGTAGACATTGGATGCAAAATTCACTTTTACATGGTATTTGCACATAAATGTATCTCAGCAATGTGTGGACACAACCACCCTACAATGATAAAAATCCACTCCTTTTTTTTTTAATCCCCCAAAATCCCAAACAGTCTCAATTATCAAGCCGTTTTGATTTTCTGAGTAGTATGATGTCATATTGTTCAGGCCCCGCCCACAACCGCCACTTAGGACACAGTGTATTAGTTTTGTTTTTAACGGTAATGCGCCACTGAATACACCTAAATTCGTTTAAGTCTGCACAAATAATTTTACTCCAGACTGCTTTCTGAATGAGGGACAATTCAAGGCAGGTTTTGTTAAGTTAAAATTCAAGGATAGATCATACCAACTTGTGGAAGATCAATGTCCCCTTTGAAGCACAGCCACCACAAAATCAGACTTACTTTGAGATCATCCTGAAGTTAAATACATATTTAAAATCATAACAATAAATGTTTTATTAGCTATGATACTGTTTTTGGAATCAAATCTTTACATAGCTATGACAGTAAACACTAGAATCTAACAATGCCTTGGAAAAAAAGTTAAACTTTTAAAAAAAATGAAGCATAGCTATACATAAAC